GAGAGAAAAAAAAAAAAAAAAAATGAGAGAGAGAGAGAGAGATGCTAGTAAAATTTGAACGATACATTTCGCCTATAAAAAGGTGCTTCTCACGACATCTTCATGCTTATATTAAAGACTCACATAAACCATGCGAGAATAGTTAAAAAAAAAAAAAGGAGCATAGTTTGAACTGCCACAGTCCCAACTGTCGGATTCCATATTCTGACAGAGCTGTCTCCCTTTTTTTTTTTTTTGGCACAACATCAGTTCATCTACATTGTACTTAAACTGTCTGTCCTGAGAAGGTGTGTCTAACAACGCCTCAAGAGTTTAACACACAAGTACAGCAGTGAAATGGGATCCGCACGGGATTTCCCACCTTTCGCTTCTCTCTCTTGAACTCTCTCTCTCTCTCTCTCTCTCTCTCTCTCTCTCTCTCTCTCTCTCTCTCTCTCTCTTTTTTTCTCTTTCTTTCTATCTATCTATCTATCTATCTATCTATCTATCTATCTATCCGAAAATCACGAATTTCTCCCTTGCAGCAACACTCCTTTATTCACGATATAAAATCGTGTCGAATCATATATTTCGAAGTTTGTCTTCCTATGTTCCCCTCATCCACCAATGAAGCACCCTTGTGTTGAAACGTGTAGTCAGCATCAGTGAACAGTCTTGCGCGAATGTCTTCCTGATGCATTGTCGACAACCCTGCTCTGAACAACATGAGTGCTTTAGCAGCCACATCCGTTGATCGATCAAGGCTGAATGTGTTGAAGGATACGAATGTGTCTCGCGCCACAACGAATGCAATTATATCTCTTTTAATTGCTGCCAACTCCGCGGTTTTTTCTTCCACTCTAGTTTGTTTAGAACATTGGAACACCTCGTTTTTAATTACCATCTCAGCGAATGCAAGTTGCCGCATTGACACACCAGTTCCGTGGGCTTTCCTCGTGTGAAAGAACACCCTTGCCAAGCACACTTCGAACGCCGGATCACCCCATGGCTCGTTGGTCTTCCGCCTCCACGAATTGTTCTTCATCATTTCCTCCCTCAGTCGCTGTCGCATGTCTTGTTGTTTGTCTGTTTGTTTAGAAGTGACTAAAGGGTATCCCTTCTCAGCCCAAAACTCGTGTTTTAACCTCCATGATATTTCCCCTCTAACGGTCGTCATGATCCTCTTACATTCAATCAGGACCTGGCGTACGCCGCACGACTCCACATATGTTCTTAACCCTATAGATGCCCATTCTCCTATATTTTCTGCCATCGCATATAACGACTTGAGAAAATGTTCATCTTGTAGGTAGAATGTCGAGTCACGAGCAGACATAAAAGCGTATGCCTTTGCAACTGACCGCATGATCCTGTCCTTCATCTTTTTCGTCAGCCACATCTCGTCCTGGTGATCTACGACATTCTGATTCCGGTTTGAGTTCCTGTTGTGAAAGCGACTTCGTCCCTTCTTGTCCGCTTTTCCTGCGCCCATTGAAACAAACGGAGTTTTTTACATCGCAGTTAGAGAATGTAAAAGAGAACATGAAAGGACAAGGAACAATAATGATTGTATTCTAGTTTTTTTGTCTTTTTTTTTGCGTATGACATACCCACTGGATTGGTTATGCAAAGGAAGAACACTATTTTTTATGCTGCGAATGCCTTTCATGCAATGACATTTACCTATTTTCTCTTCGCGCAGCTTCGCCGTTTCATTGGAGTTGTCACAATCTTGCTCATATGCGTCATCCATATCTTCCCCTGTGACTTCCTTTCCTCCTTCATCAGAATCGTCTTCCTCATAGTCAGGCACATCTGTGATCACAGGATGGAGGATGCAGTGAATGACATTTCTATCGCATTTACTTCTCCTGGTGAAATCCATAATTTGATCCAGAAGGAAGTACTCAATTCCATCAGCAACGATGACAGGCAACTCTGCAAAAGACAAGCGGGTTGCACACAATTTTTTAAGGGCAACTGCGATAAGGATAACACCTCGGCCGCGCCCGGTTTCAAAAGGGCGGCATTGAAGGGTAGCCTCAATTATGCGGCACATATCTTCGATTGCAGTTTTTTCCTAAACGCGGTTTTTGTGTATATGCCACCCTTTTGGTGTTTATTCATATCGACATCCTCATGTTCTGTGATCCAATCCAGAAATGATTTCTCTGTATAAGATTGTATGTCAATCGGTCTGTTGAGGTGGGAAACCGTTGTCCTTTCTAGGAGGGGTGAGTGATGCAGCCTGTCCAGAAAGACGCTTGCATCCTGCATGTTGTCGAGGTTGCGAGTAACTGTTGCATCGACATCGATATGCAGATGAAAATAACGAGGAACCCTCTGTCTCAAGTCCTGCAATTCGGCGTCGGAGTTATAATGCACAGAGGGCGTGGCAAACTGTATTACCGTCTCTACCGCAATGATGTCATGTGAGGCCGACATACCTTCTTCCGCCTGTGAGATGCAGCTGATTACGAAACGCAGTTATCGCCGTCCAATCTGAAGTTCAACAAACATC